CTACGAGCAAGGAACCCTGGCCATTTCACAGGAGCACTACGTGAACACACTTCTGGAGCGGTTCGGAATGCAAGAGGCCAACCCAGTGAGCACTCCTGGATACGGAGCGGAAATCTCCACGAATCAACCTCAGGACCAAATCCTAGGACCCACGGACAAGAAAATCTACCGGTCGATGACAGGAAGCATCCTCTACCTGGCGCAGTGCACGCGATTCGACCTCTCCTACGCTGCCCTACAAAATTCCAAGGCCTGCAGCANGGATCCTCGGGATCGACGTGCAGCGGGACTACGAGCAAGGAACCCTGGCCATTTCACAGGAGCACTACGTGAACACACTTCTGGAGCGGTTCGGAATGCAAGAGGCCAACCCAGTGAGCACTCCTGGATACGGAGCGGAAATCTCCACGAATCAACCTCAGGACCAAATCCTAGGACCCACGGACAAGAAAATCTACCGGTCGATGACAGGAAGCATCCTCTACCTGGCGCAGTGCACGCGATTCGACCTCTCCTACGCTGCCCTACAAAATTCCAAGGCCTGCAGCAACCCAGCGCAGGTGAACATGACAGCAGCCAAGCACGTTCTGCGATACCTTCGGGGTAATCCCTTTCTTCCTATCGTCTACAAGAGAGGACAGTTTCGGCTAGCGGCGTTTACGGATTCATCCTTTGGAGCAAACCCCGACAACGGAAGATCTACCACGGGATATCCCTTCTTTCTGGCTGGAGGACTCATCAGCTACGGTGCGAAGACTCAAACTCGAACCGCGCAAAGCACGGTCGAAGCCGAAATTCAAGCACTTAGCTACTCAGCCAGAGAGGCGGTCTACATCTCAAATTTTATGACGGAACTCAACTTCAAGACCTTCGGATCGGTTCCCATCAACAACGACAGCACCGGAGCGCTGACAGTGGCCGGGAATGCCATGCACTCTCAACGCACGAAGCACGTGGCCCTGAGGTACTTTTTCATCCGGGAGCTAGCACTACGGGGACAAATCACTCTTCACCACCGGCCCAGCGAGCATCAGTTGGCTGATATCGCGACCAAGAACCTCCCAAAGCACCGGTTCGCCTCCATCATTCAGCAGATCAATGACTTCTCGTGTTATATATATGCATCGACGGACCGATGCCCTCCTTACTTTCTACTTGAAGAATTCAGGAACTTCTCAACTCAACAGGTCAGTGTTAGTGGAGAAGCTCGGTTCTAAAAACTTGGGCAGGCCTTTACGAACAATAATACCACACACACACACACGTCGTAGTACGTGCTGCTGCTGCTGCTGCTGTTGTTGCGCGTGTTCTTCTGCATGCAGCAGAAGTAGCCTGGAAACTCGACACTTCATTTATTTGGGACTTTGCAACATGGCGCTGTTGTTGAGTGGCGCAGCAGATGGCACAAGTACTGCTCCTGCTGCATGCTGTAACAACAGAGTGTTGTTGTCCCACATCTTTTTATATTTATTGATTAATTGAGAAAAAGAACGAGAAACCCTCTTCTTCTGCTTCGTTGCAACTACATACATATATTTATACAGTTGGGGCCCGCGAATAATAGTAACAAACGTCAATTTCGGGTCGACGAGGCTCAAAGTCTTATTTGTCGAGCAAACACCAGCAAAGTACTTGAACTATTTTTCTGATAATAATTGAGTTTCTCACATTATTAATATTTCTGTCTGTCTGGCTTTTGGTCGAATACTCACGGTTTGTTTTTCATATTTTTAATTAATTTAAACGACGATTTCTTCTATTATATTGTTTTTTGGCTCTGTCGCCTGGCTTGTACGTCACTCAGCTACTATAGTTAGTTGCCGTTTCTTCTATGTTACCCATTATTCCGACAACCATAGTTTCCGTCCACGAACGTCTCCCAACCGATGAGTGCGAAACACAGAAACAAAATGGAAAATCCACTTCCGGGGGTCTCGTCTAACTGACTGGTGCTTGCTGCCAAGGTGCTGAGGTGTGCTGCCCCCCCCTCCCTGTGCAACAATCGAAACAACGCGTTGTTCGGAAGAAGCGCACGAAGACACTCAAGCTTTTTGCCGTGAGCTCCGGTCCCCTATAATAGTTTCTTATATCTGTGGGTGGGTGTGTGCTTTCTTATTATTCGGATGTTTCTTATCTTTGCGTCCGTTTTGAGGTGTGTGTGTTTCTTTTGAGTCACTTTTTCTTGATTTTCCTCAAAAAAAGTTGAGGCTCATCTTCTTAAATACTCCCTCCGTTCCCATATATAAGCGTGATTTGGACAAAATGCGGTTGACCAAGATAAACCGCCGGTTTATCTTGGTCAAAAAATTGAATCAATTTGTAGTCTTTTTTCTTTTTCCGAACCGTTTTTTACCTTGGTTTCGCCGCTTCGCCGCGCTCGCGCGGGGCGCGCAGAACCGGTGCTTTTTTTCAAACCAACCAAAAAGGTGTGTCCTACCCCAGCAGAAGTTGCTCGAAATCACCACCCCAACTTTGAACCTCCGCCCAAAAGCCTTCCCATCTCCTGGTGAGGGATGTCTGCTGCTGGGAGTGCCTCCCAGGTGGCAAAACGCAAGAATTTCAACAATTCAGAAAAAGAGGAGGTGATTCGGCACCTCCTCACTGGCAGCAAGAACGGGGTTTTGCCGTATGGTGCGTTCAAGGCAGCCGCGGAGAAGTTCGGCTGCCACTGGGAGACGATTAAGAGGCTGTGGAGGAGGTACGATACGCAGCATTAAGCAGGGGTCTCCAGTCCACAGCTAGCAAACCGTCGCAACGGAAATAGCGGCCGGAAGGGCGTTCCCATCGAAGAACTGCGTGAGCGCCTGCGTGACATCCCGC